TGTATTGTTAAGGGACTATTTTAGACCTACTTCAATAGTTCAGGGACCATTTATGAAATTCTCTAATTATGAACAATCATAGCCAAAGAAATTTTTGTATATAGCTATGAATTTTTTCGTAGCAAATAGTTGAATTATTCAACTACAAATTCTAAGTCGTCGCTATTTAACACCTTACATATTTTGTGACATTTTTTTGTTGTAACTAAATCATAGGTTGATTAGAGACAATAAAATTATTGTCAACAATTGTTCATATTATTAGTGACGAAAATAAATGTCACAATTAAATCTAAATTTTTATAGCTAAAACTTATAATATTTAACTACAAACTCTTATTTGTCGCTATTGTAACAACATATTTTTCGAGACGAAATTATTTTGTGTCCAAAAATAAATTAATTTTAAGACAAAAATAATTTGTTACGAATTAGATACATCATTTGTGATGAAATTATGTGTCACTGGTAACTTTAAATTCGTGACTGACAGTACTCAATAAATGGCGTCAATTCATTTTTTGGTGGGAAATTTTAGTGGACAAAACTTTGCCACAAACTTTTATGTTTCGTCACTAAAAGTATATGTCTCATATATTTAAGCACGAAAAGTAATTTTTGTCGCTAAAAGTAAATAATTAGTGACGAATTTTATGTCATAGCTAATAATTTCGTAGCTATATATCATATTTGTTATAGTGAATATTGTTTCAATTTTTTTTTATAAATTCTATTGTTTAGTTATGTAATTCAACTTCCTCTTAGTTTCTTTATGTCATGCTTTGATATGTACGCCAAGGGTTAACTTGAGATCACTCGTGGTTCTAGGTACTCTGTTTTGGTTGGCGTATAGACTTGGGTGGTGACAGTAAGTCAAGGTTTTATGTAGAAAAGTTCCTAGAACTTCTTATTTTCTACAATATTGTTCTTGGGAGCAGGAAAGGCGATTTAGGGTGTTTTCACCCGCTTTTCCACCAAATTCTTTGATAAAGATAAGTTTATTACTCTCGTATCTTGTAATTTAATTCTTAAGCCTTAGAATCTATGGTATTACTCTTGAAAGAGGGTTTTGACTAGATTTAATGTTGGTAAAAACCCTGGTTTGGGTTGAATAATCATGAATTGGCCCGGTGTTTAGGATTTGGTTATAATCGAGGTATTGTTAAGCTAATATTGATTTATTATTGTGTTTCCATTATTGTTTAGACGAAGAACAAGTCAAAGTACTTCAAAAAGGGAAAGCTCAAGTTCTTTAGAGTTTCCAAGGCTTGACTCAAGGTAGGTGATGGTTATTGTTTTCCAAAGTATGTAATGTGTGCATGTTAACTGCTAATTGGTATTATTATGCAATGCATGTGGAGGAAAATGAAAGGTTAATGTGAAATGATCATGTGTAGTAATATGATGCAATGAACCTATATATTTACTTACTTGTAGTTACAAATAGGTTATTCATTGTGATTATGATTGTGATTACACATTTTGTTTATGATTGATGGTTGGCTCGGGTACCACGTCGATAAAGGAATACTAACGGTTGGGTCGAGTACCACGCCTGGTATGAACACTAACATTGGTTAGCTTAGATACCACACTAGTACACTTGTAGTTTGTGTGTGGGTTCCTTAGGAGGGCCGGATATGTGCATTTGTGATCATATGGGCCATGTTTCGTGCATTGATAATTCAAGGATTGTAATTGGTAATTTGTAACATGTTGTAACTTT